CATTTGCTTTTTTATTTTATCCAATCAAATTTATTAAAAAAGTTTTTTATCGACAACAAACTGACAATAAGGAAACTTTATGATTTTTATTGAAGTCCATCAATTGAGAGAAACTCACAGAAGAAAAAGAATAGTAGTTACAAATTATTGCAGACTTTGATCGTCTATATTTAGAGGAATACGTGTTGCCAATGTTAACACAAGGTCTTATTAAAGTGATTCGGTTTAGACCAGCAGACTCTATCGATTTTCTGTTAAGTTAGCATATGAATATATTGTTAATATCTAAGTTTAATCGATATTTCGAAAAATTATTTAAAACATTAGAATAATAATCAACACAACTTTTGTTATCACCAATTTATTCATATTTATTGGAACATGTATTCCTGTTCTTTCATCAAAATACTAGTTATAAAGGGTTGAAAGAACCCTGATTTTTGTTGTAACATGAATTCTATTTCATCTGCGATACCGTTTTGTTTTAATAGAGAACTCTAATTGAAAACTTCATAAGTCAAATAGCTCAATACTAAAGAGCTGTAGGCAACTAAACTGTGATTGTCACAGAGTAATGCGTAGGTTGTGATGCCAGTATCGTCAGTGTATTTTATAATTAACTTTGATTCGAAAAAAATCATTGTTTGTTCAATTTTCATTATAAACATATTCATGGAAAAATTAAAAAAAACTTCCAATCAATCTTCTATGCCTGACTAATACAGACCTTTCTCACAATGAAATGAAAAAATGCAGCAAAAAATTTTACGCAATTTCATATTAAATTGATATTGAAACGTTTTATTTTTCAATAGAGAATTGTTTCAAATAAAATTTAAGAAGCTTAAATGTTGTAGTATTCATCTAGATGATGATGAAAATCTTAAGAAAGAAAACTAAAGAATATCTTGGTTTGGAGAAAAGTTCTATGCAAACTGGTAAATCTATATTCATATCCAATATGTGAACAATAATAACAACTTAATACTTGACTTTTAATATCCATTTCATCAATATACCGATTATTTGAAATTATTGATTTAATATCGATCCTTATTTTCATTTACTTTAAGCTGTTACATAAAAAGTAACGATTCACAAAATGTGCTTGATGGTGCATGTTGGTGAATTACAACCCTGACCACATTATAACGAGAACTTACAAGAAATTCAAAATTTAATAAATTTTAATTAGATATTCATGTTCCTGTGACCTTATGGTTTTGCAATTTCGAATGCCATTTTGACGATATATAAGACCAAACGATTGCCTTGTGGAAAGTGTGGTTTCAAATTTATATGACAAAATAGTCCGGTTAAATACTTTCAAGGTAGAAGTTAAGAGCAATTTAATAAACTAAAAGGAACATAATATTGACAAACTAACCTTGAAAGGTTATTATCTATAACATTTCTACAATGAATTACCAAAATATCCTGCCCAATAACCGCACATCCTCAGCAATTAACAATCTAATCAAATAATCATTTATTCTTTATAATTACGACCTTGCCATTGAATTACCAAAGAAAAGTATCTGTTCAATTTCGTTTCATAGCGATTCACTATTTTTCATTTGAATAAGACATTGTTTGATTTATATTAATCATTTGGAGATAAAACAATGCACTTGAAGGTGTATTTGTGTGTAAAAAATTTTAATTAAAATCCATCAATTTTTATGTCACTATAAAAACGTCCCTTTATCTGCATTCAGTCCATGATAAATTTAAATGACTGAGAAGAAAAGTAATTCTAAACGAGGACGAGCATTTTCTGTAAATAAATAGTTTAGTTGTTGTTTCATACAGTGTTGAGGCCATACTACTTAGTTGAGTAGATACTGCTCGTCCAGAGGGATCTTTTGAGAGCGAGGACGCGTCTCGAAACTGGGACATTCCAGCATCCGGTCAAATTCTATTGTGCACTAAGAAGAAAAGACTGGCGTGTGTCTTTTTCCGAACCAATCCATGGGTAAACTGAATTCATATTATATATATTTATATAAGGAATATTTGACTTTGTCAGATTTTTAATAAATAGTCTTTTATATCTGAAAAGTTAATTATTTTTAACTTTCCATCAGGAAGTTATTGTAATGGAGTCGATTTTTAAAATTCGCAGTTTTATCATATCTTTACCGTTTGAGACATTTAAAAGCATACTGTAAGGTTTGAACATGGATGTATGTGCATGCGTTCGTAAATACGTGCATATGTCTGATTTCTTTTGGTTTTCAATATGTCGAAAACCACCGAAGATATCGACTCCAGACGAATTTCATTCGAACGATGATACAATGAAAAGGATCGGAAAAAAGTTGGACGATTTCAGTCCAGCCGTTTTTTTCATAACAAAAAGAATGTAAAATAAATTGAGTAAAAAATAAATTTGAAATAGATTCTACTTAGTTGATGATTAACACTGTTAATAACTGAGGTCAATATCAATAAAATATGATTATTAATAACTTCACATGACTCTAAGCAATTATAAATTATTTATAACAATTTTAATTTTTTATAAACAATTCAAAATAGTTCTAAGTTATTGAATAATCATTACTATAATTATATTGGATAAATAGAAATAGAATACTGCTATAAGCAACTTGATGAATGAGAAGTTCATCGTCAGGACACCAAGTGCACCCAGACCCATTTTTATTTCAACTTTTTGAGAGAAATTTTTTTTTTTCGAAGACATCTCTGATGAAAAAATAAATAAACCTGAGATTAAAATCGATAGAGATTAATAACATTATTACATAAATACCACTATTATAGGCTCATTAGAACGATAAATTGTTCCAATTAATTACTATGATACATGATTAGAAATAAAAGTTTCATCATTTCTTTCCATTCGAAATTTATTACAGATTTTGATTGTTTGATTAAACGAGTGTAATTTCAAATAATTTGTATCTTGTTGAGTTGAATAATTGATTGCTATAATAATTTTTAATTTATGCTATAAATTTGATGTGATTAAAATGAATGCATTCAATTTTCCTATAGCACTCATATGTAATAATTATACGAGCATGTGGTCGATTGAGAAAGTTTGAAAACAATTAATGTTTATGTACATAATTGAATATATTATTAAAGCGTGAGAACTTTCATCTATGATGACGTACAGACGCAGTAACCTTGTCCTAAAATCTTGTAGAACCGATCACTGATATCCAAGAATTGTTCAAGTGTGCAGTGGGTTAAAGTTTTCACCTCAAAGAGTTTAAGGAGTTGACTACTAAATGTTACTGTCATTGATTCAGAAAACTCAACGATCAGGAAATAGTCTCTCATCAGAGAATGGAATTTACAACGAACAAGTTTCAAATTACCTAGTTGACATGATGAGTAACTTTGACAATTATATGAAAGATTCTAGAACAAAAAGCTCAGATTTTATTTGAATCACGACTCTGGTAGCTTGTAGTCTCATCAAAAGCCTTTTCAATCGTTTGTCGAATCGAATAAAACCTTGTAATTTCTCTTTTTTTCCATTAACGTTTCATTTTGTAACTTTTGGAAGCTGTTCAATTGAATCTGCATCACTAATGAAATAATTTAAATCAAAATAAGTGGTCAACATAAATGTTATCAGCACTATGAAAACAAAATACATATGCATTAGGAAATATTTTTATCTCAATAAAATCTTGTTCAATTGCATTAAAAAAGGTGGTTTGGAGCTTCATAAAAAACGTCATATTACGACCCTGACCGATAAAAACCCATATCCAGTGTATTTAGCAAAAGTACTGAAAGAACGCACATGATCGTTTTTCGAAATACGCTCGTGAACGTTTACTCGTTGACATTTTAAAACGTTTCTTTCGTCAATTGAAACTATCACATTCCATTCCAGATAGACTTTGACAGATTCACATTCAAAAATCGTTCACTGAGATATTTCTTTTTTTCCTCAGTGACAAATTTCATCAACAGGTATTAATGAACTGAATGAACTCAAAGGACTAGGATATCGAGAATTCCGACAAATCAATTAACTGATTGATGGATGCAATATTTCATAATAAAAATAAATAATGTAATAAAGTTGATGGCAGTGGTGAAGTTGTTCGTGTAACCTACATCTTTATTGAGGGTCCACGAGTTTGTTACAAGTTTTGAGTTGTTGATGTATGGTGTTAGTAAGTGAATTAATTTTTTGTATCATTGACAACAGTTCTCTCAATAATAACTTATTGCTAATAGCGCATGCCTAAAATTCGCAGCTTTTTCCAGGCAGGCTGAAGCTTCCGTATTGAGCTGAGTAGGCGGTCTAGTCTTATAGCGGTCAAGGTTAGGAAACCCACATTGTTACACATCTTTGATTGAAAGTAAGTCGTGAGTACATTTGCAGTTCTTTGATAGAGCTACTTGAGAGCATGAGTATCAAAGTACTTCCCGGATGCACTAGCCACACAGAAGGTTATTGAATCGATAATTATTCAGCTATCATCATCCACTTCCTTTATAATCTAACCATAAAGCCAAACATCTTTAATATAATTAATTAAATTTCCAATAATAGATCTTGTATGTTAGAGATGCATTATATAAATTGAAGAAATCATTTATGGCTATTGATGGAATCATTTTGGTATTTAGTGAAAGCGAAACTTTTATTTCAGCTTTTTTATTTTAATGTCTTTATACATTGACCTCTATACCTGTATCTTCAAACACCTGTTAGCTGCGACTCGTGTTCGCATTTCAGCCACATCAGCCTTAAAGCTACTGATGTTTTATCATTGGAATCGTTATCACTATTCAATTATTTTACTTTTAATAAAATTCTATTTTAATCGCTTATTATTATTTTCTTATCATATTCATTTTCCATGAATCAAGCATAAATATTTGATAAACTATTTTTTAAAAAATTTAATAAACTTTTTTATCAAATGATTTGAAATTTTTTTTCAAGAATAAATGTGAGTGGGCAATAAATTATTGAGTGACAAAAAGATAATAACAAAACTTACCAACATGTGCTTGTAATGAATTATTAGCTTCTTCGCTAGGTATCACAGCTTCCTCGTAAATGCCTTCAGACCCAGTCTTCACTACTCCCATTTTATGAAAAGCCCACAAAAAAATTAAAAATTACTAAGACGTTTTTTAAGTATAATTCACGAGTGGAATGATCGGAGTATTACGTGTTTAATTGAATCCACGCTGAAAGCGCGGCCGATGGCACCTCTTCTGCTCAATGCCGACGCGTCGTCTGGCGTTTTCACAGGACACGATACCAGAGTGAGGAAAATGCGTCTGCGTTAGCGCCTGCGTCTCACCCTGCAAACTATCGCAGAGTCCCGACGAGCCAACAAAGAGAGAACAAGACCAGCCGTGACGTACCGAGGGTGAAGTTGGACCCCTGACTGGAGCGAAGGTAGCTTGTGTTATATCTTTCAGGGAGGACGATAGGGGTTTGATGTAGGATGGGGTGCGGCACGAGTATAGCACAGGGGCAATGTCGAGCAACTGGGTTTCGGTGAAGGTCTCGGTTGCTTCTCCTCTAGGTAAATTCACGTACATTTTTTGCTTTTGCATTTTCCTGGGCTTATTCGCGACCTTGAAATATCGTTTTAATTACACAATAACGATTAGCTTCTCATCTTTCAATACACGTTTTTTTTTTAATTCATTATATTTCGAATTATTCTTGCTACAGTTTTGAACAAGAAATTGCAAGAAAGAAGATAACAAGTAGATTAAGATACAAATGATCAAGTTATTAAAAGTATTATTTCTAATTTGTTCAACATGTAATGGTGTAATTTATATTGAATTGCATGTTCAATCAATTCATTAACCCTTTTGGTACACCATTGTCTAATTCAAGCCACAGAAAGCTGCCCAGCCGAGGTGACCACGAAGGGCTAGCTAAATGCTTTCCCCTACCAGATAGCTGTCAAGGCCGTACTCTGACCCTGCTGAATTCATGGGATATTCAGCCCTACTTCGATCAAACTCGCTCGTTGTGTTCGCTCCCCACTCTAGACTAATCATTGTGTTGTACTGTCTGCTCATAGCTACGATACTTGTTGCGCATATATTTTATCTGAATCCTGCTCTATTTATAGACTATTTCTAGATTTTATATAAACCCTTCTTGTTTACTTTTTTTTATTATTATTACGCCGGCGGTTATATTTATTTAAAACATTTATTATTAAGCCGAGTAATCGATTGTTATTTACATGTGTGGTAGAGTCTATTTTTTAAGGAAAAAAATTGTTTCCAGGCTATTGTATTTTTACCAGTTATTTTTCCGACATACATATTTTTTTTAAATATCAGTAAAAAAATGTGAAAATTGATTTGTACTGTTGCAGTATGTTTTACTTCATTACAGAGTTGTGTTAGCAATAAAAACTTCTTTAATTGAAAAATCACCGGCTATTAAAATTACATTCTATTGTAGATATTAAAGATTTTATTTTTATTTATTTATTTATTTTGTAATAGTATTAGTCTACAATTTCATCTATATTTGATTAGATTTTTCTACTTTTTTTTTATTTTTTATTTTATGTCAACATTTCCGGACTTGGTGTAGATCTCAACGATGTTCATACACGTGCGAATCCCAGTTATATGAGGGAACGGAAGGTTAGTAGATCGATATCTGCTGCAAGCATTTTTCCAGTTGAAACGTTTTACGCACGTTTTCTGTACTCAAATCTATATTTACATTTGCTCATTCGTAATTATTGGCAATATTAATAATATAAATAAGACATTATGAGATAATAAAAATACAATGGCAATTACAGTATAATTATACAAGCTTAGTCTACAAATAATTCAATAGAACTCCTAGTTCATTGAGTTAATTATGAAGATATTACTTCACAATTCTAATTATTTCATCTAATATCTTACATCATTATTTTTAAAGTATTATTGGATCATTTTATATTCCAATTTGAGAGTAGAATCATTTTCAAAGGATAGGAATAGAAGTACTCCAAAATAGCAATATTTGTATAGAAATATTTCAGAAAGAAACCGACAAGAAATATAGACATCTTGAAGCAAGGTAGATGCAATCATTCTGCATGCTACGTTGTAGTAGATACAGATACAGAACAGCTTATACAAAATAATGCTTCAAGTGTGCTGCAACTATCGATTTAACTTGTTGCACGTGTAGACAAAAGCATTCGTGGAGAATAAAGTCTTCCAGTGGAAAAATTTAATGTATTGTTTCTTTTTAACCAAATTTTATTGTTGTTAAATTCATGACTATCAAACAGCAATTATGATAATATTTATAGTTATAACAATAGTATTTTTTGTAATAATAACGAGAAATGTAAAATTTTACTTTTATAAGAGAACTTTTTACACAGTATTCACATTGTCCCAAAAATAAGCCTTGTTTGAATTTCTCTGTGAATATGAATTAATTATTATGATTTCCACCGAATGCTCAAATATATTAAATTCTGTCGATCAATAGTTTTAAATATTGTATTATTTTTATTTCAAACGTGCAAAGTATATAAATGTCATGAATTATAAATAATATAAAATCCTGACAATAGATTATGTTGAGTCTCAAATATGTATATAGCCATTTTTGTCGTGATGGAATTATTAATGTATGTAAACAAATACTTTTTTTAAGTTTACTAGCAAGGTACAAACGCACTGCGCATTGTATTATATACGTAAATAAGCGAAAAAAAATTTTATTTTATCTTTAAATTAAAAATTTCTCCCACCATTGCTTTTAACAACCATTCAATACCCAAATAAAACAATGATGGATATGACGATAACCAATCATGCCTTTTTATAAGAAAGGATTATGTCAGATAAAAGGTTCAAAACCCTCGGAAATTTATTGTACATAACATTCATGCGGTTATTTTTCTAAATGTGTAAATTAAATATTATATTCAATTAAATATTAATAAAACAGTTACAACAACAGTATAAATATATTTCACAATTGTCATATCGCAGATGTAAATATTAATAATGAGTTGAAATAATCATGTAGACATTTCCATATATTTGCAGAACCTTTAATGACTTTATTTAGTATTCATATTTTACATTTCTATGCGTCTCTGACTACCGATGACAATCGTTTCGAATAACTTACATCACAGTAAGTTTAATTGATTCTTTAACATACTAAAAAAATACGTCCCTATGAACCTTAACCATTGTCAACGTTCAGATTAATTTACTGTTAACGCATTTTTATACATTACACTCTTAAATGATTAATCATCAATTAATAATATAATTATAGACTGGAGCTTATTAATTTATATTAAATTAATCAGTTAATATGTGTATTGAGTTTATAATAATATTCTATAGAAAAAGAGTAATAAAATTTATAACTATAAAATAGTAGAAGAAGGCAAATCATGCGGTTGAGCAAATTTTGATGTTCGGTATAAATTTCTCTTATCTTAGACATGTTGGACAAGGCATCAGCCCCATTTCATCACAATTTGTACATCTAAGTGCACAAATTTCATTTAAAAATCCGTGCCAGCGCCACGATTTTTTACTGCCGTGACAAGAGGTACATGGAATAAATCCAGCGTCGCCGCAAACAGAGCAAATTTTATGCACACCGAGAAACTGAAACAAAGAGAGAAACATTTATATAATCAAAAGAAAAAATTTTCATAAATAATATATTATTATATATAATAGACTATTTAATTAAAAACTTTAATAAAAATAATATAAACTTTAATACAATAGTCACAGAATTTTTTTAAAGTTGATATACTCATAAATATAATTGATGCCATAAAAAGTTTATAAATTGAACAAACAAATATTTTTCCACGATAAAATGATATCACAAATTCCGATTTTTCTATTGAAATATTTTAGGTACAATCAATGTTATTGATGCTAGATAATTTTCAGTGTCACTTAATAATTATCCAGCTGATAAAATTTTATTTGCTGGTATTTTAGTTCATATATAAAAATACAAACATTACTAGATAAGTTAAATAAAAGGTCATTTTTTATCAAGAACTTTTTCAACATTCATAAAAAATTTTTCTTAGTTTTTTTATGTAATAAAATGAAATTTATTAAAACCTTCAAATAAAATGTAACCTTTCTGTCTATACAAGATTAATATCACGTTTTTGAAGTCAGAATGATCTCTATCTCTGATAAAAATTGGAAAGAAATGTATTTAATAAAAAAACCGAAGGCTACACTTAAGTAAATAAATATCTCTATGATTGCCACATATACCTCTACTTACAATGCTATCATTAACTGTTTCAATCCAGTTATTTTCATTGAGGTTTTAGAAAAAAAATATCTTGTAACTTAGTTACTTATGTCAATCTTAAGAATAATGATATTAGATTCATTTTCTGTGGAGTAATGAATAGAATAATTTTAGCATAACATTATGGTGTAAAGAATTATGATGTTGAGTATGTCCACAGAACGACCTTTCTGTAACGCAAGGTAAATCCGATCAACTTGACACCGAAAATTTATGAGCTTAATTCTTGAAATGAGAGGGAAGTCGTCCCTGCGTTGGATGAAAGTGAAAGGACCATATAACCTTGCGTGTATTTAAGTAGTACTCGAACTAATTCTGATGCCTACTCGTACACACTAATTAGTTCTGCAAGTTTGTAATATCTCTGTTTGAATAATATATGATTTCTTTCATTTTCATTCACACATTTATAGTAATTCATTATCCATATTAACTTTTTCATCAATATAAAACAAATTAACTAATCCTGTGTTTTACACTTTTACTTGTTGTTGGCAATAATCAACACAATCAATGATCAGTCAAACTAATTAATAATCATGAATAATTAAAATTAGAAAACATTTAATCTTTTTTCTCATTAATTTTAATAATAGATTTCTATTAATTGCAGTGTAAAAAAATTATTCAAGATAAATACACTCGTCAACAAGTCAATTATCATCATGATAATGAGTAAATTGGTAAGTAGCAGATAACTAGAAAAAAACAAATGACAATTACTTACTTTAAATGGTTTGAGCATAGGTCGTAATTCCCCAGACTCATTAAGTTGTTCAACAGCATCAGCATCCTGAAAAAAAGATATTTATGAAAAAATGTCAATAATTGTGATAAATTGTAATCTATGTCGTGAGTGTATATTTGAAAAAAAATTACATATTTATTTATGTTAAGTAGATTGTAAGAGACACAAATGAATCAAAGACAGGAGACATTAATAAAGTGACTTTTTATTTATTTTCATGTTGTTATACTGTACTATTTGAATAGATCCTTTCAATTCTTTGCGTTATGTAAAATAATTATCTGACGCGGTCAGGTTGGAATGCAGTCCCCTTCATTTAAAGGTGTATGTAAAATATCTCAATATAAATATATAGTATAAATGTGAGAGAGAGCACATTCGCTTCTCTAGCTGTGAACATTTTCTAGGTAACATAAGCTACCTGTGTCTTTTTCTTTCTTTTTCCAATGGCCTTGGATCAGTTGGAGCTTGACATTTCACTTATATGCGTGTGTCTATTCTCTTAACTTTTGAGATTGCAATACTCGATGCATTAGCCAGAGATGAAAGGATGTTACACCTAGAATTATAGCTGTTAGGTTCACTTCATTACGATGAAGATTTTTTTTTTGGTTAGCTATCAAATACTTAAGGAAGTTTTAAATATTTTAAAGTTCAACTTTGTTAAAGTACTGAAATAGTTTTGACACTTGAATATGTTCACTGTACTTATTATAACTCTCTAAAAGTAGATAAGTATTCAGTTTAATTTATAACATCTATTTAAATAACGCAACTGTTCACGAAATATCGTGGGTGATAAAATAAAAAATAGGAATAAACGTCAACTAAAAAACGTGGGAGGATATTCTATAACTCAAGAAAAATCATGCGAAACAGTAGCCTCTAGAATACAATATTAAGATTTATTTGATATATTAAAGAAATAATTACATTTGTATTGTGTTTCTCTTTGTTTTATTCTAAATTTCTTTGAAATGAATAAAATGATGAAAAGAGTTGTCTACAGAATAATGCAAAGAATCATCTATCGCTTTTTTAATGCAAATATAAGTTGAAAAAAAGACGTTGAATGATGAAATGTTGACCTTTTTACTTTATAATATATTCAGAGGTGTCAAAAATGTTAGAAAAAAAGAAATTTGTAAGTAGAGTAATTCGATTTTGTGCTGACATTTCTCATACATTATAAAAAATCATATTAGTTTTTACATGATGATAAACTCAGTAATAGGACTCAACTGAAAATGAAATTTTCTCACAGAACATCCTGTTCTTGAAACAATTAACTTAATTTCAAGTGTCATTTTGGAAAATAAAAAAAAAAAAGTTGTATGAGAAATTTTTAATTAAATGATTTTTTCTCAAGATGATCAAATTGCACGTTCGAATATTTTCTCATCAGATTACGAAGTAGCTCCCACGTACAATAGTGAGTATTCGTAGTTATTCAAGTGACTTTTCTAGACTCGTAGTACAGAAAAACCTTCACCAATAAAGCCTTTGCGCAATAAGATCTAGAGGGCACGTGAGCATCTGCCTCTGACAGTGAATCATACAGTTGGTTGTGTGGAAACAAGTACTCATTGCCAGTTATATTGTAGGTACTTATTATTCTTTCAGTTTTCAAGATTTTTAAATGAAGTCTTCACACTTTCTATTATTCATATTTTCATAAATAATAAACGACTTGACAACAATTAAATACCCAATGACTAATAAACAATTGTAGATATTACGTTAGAATTTATTAGTAAAAGTTTCGATAAATTCTTGTGGTGATTAGTTGTCATAGTATCTTCTATTAATGTTCAATTCCATACATATATGCTTCTCGTATAATCGATGGATTGCGTAATGAAACGACGAGGGAATAAGATGAAGTACGATCGGCATAAACTTGTGGATTGACGTGAAATGTCAAAGATAAACGAGAGAGGATACCATCTTCGTATCAATTCTGTAATTTATACACATTGTGATGAGTAAAAATACCGGATGAAATTCCATTTAACTTGGATATCCTCACGCTATATTATAAACGCCCAGATATTTAGAACGTGTGAATTGTTTTCCAATGGTGTGACTTGGGATGCAATCATGATGTTTATAATTATAATATAAGGACGCTGTTATATGTAAACTGATCCATATTTTCAAGAAACAGTGTCAGTAGTATTAGAAAACCGGTCTATACTACATGAATGCCTTTGCGCTTGATACTGATTGATTAAACGAGCTCCTGTCGAGTGTCTAGACTAATGAACTAAAAGGATGAAGATATGATAACGATGCTAATGTGTTGATACATACCCCAATGTGTTGACCATCAATGAAAAGCTGTGGAACCTGCACGCAATCACTGGCTAGGCGATCTTTTAACTCTGTTTGTAAAGCAGAACTTCTATACAAATCTCGTTCCTCATATTGAACCATGTGAGTATTTAGAATATGTCGCATCTTCAAACAGGCGAATCTCGTTTTTGGAACCACTCCCATTGATGTTGTATAGACCACTACTTTGCCACTATCCTTTTGCCTGTAATTCTGTAACAAGTTCGCTTATTAGTTTGCTTATTTGGTCAAAGCGAAATTATCTATCCTTATGATTGAAATTAATTAGGTAAATTTGTTTGAGAAAATATTTTTTATATAATGATTATGCTACGGCGATGGAGGTTTAATTAATATTATGTTAGTAAATTTATTTGATCTTATTTTGTAGCTTTTATGCTTAGAAATACGGTAAGTTATAATGATAATAAGCAATATTGTATATTCTCTATTATGTACTCCTGTAATGTATTTAGAGCACAATCTTTGAACTTTTTAAACTGCAGTGTATTAAATTCCCTATTATATAAGTAGTATGAGAAAAGCTCGGTGGAATGAAAAATTTCAAGGTACAAAAAAATTAGATGAAAAATTTCAGGGCTTTTTTTCAAGAATGATGAATTGTTGAAGATAAATATTTCGTTTATGTCTTTTTATAAACAAACCGTGAATAAAATTTTTCATGAAAATATTTTCTACAGCAAGTTATAAGATTTTAAATAATGATTTTTTTTTTAAATCTTATAACGATTTTATTCAATCTGAGCTTGTTGGTAGAATGAGATTATCCTTTTTTTGACCCACTAAAATAATTGCACTCTATGTAGAAATAATGATTGAATAGATTATACCTCAATTCACCCCGATATGAAATAATAATCATGATAATTATTGGAGATAGGTATTTTTAAAGAAAAATTCTGTGCATACGCACGTTTTAAGCATAGTCCTACAAGATTTTCTAGCATAGTTACGTAAATCAGTTGTGTCGCACCTGAGGGACAAAGATTGTGATTATGTTGTATTAACTTTCACTACGTGGCTGTAGTAAAACGCGGTTTCATACAAACAAGATGACACAAATACTTCTGTTTTAAATTATACATCTGTTGTAATTTACATTGAGACAATCATCAATTGGCATTTCAATCATTGTCACTGATTTTGTTTTCAAGTTTATATATACTTTCAATTAATCAGATATCCTTTCCTTTTCAACAGAATTTTTTTAATCATAAATACTTGTCATATTTTGACTCTAAATAATTACCAGTCATTATTTTAATTGAAGTTTTATTTCATTTACTTTAAATGAAACAAATCATATTTAATTCTTGGTAAATGAGGTTTTTGTAATTTTATTGCATTAAAGGAAATTGCAGATCTTCACTAAAATATTTAATTACGAAATTTGTTAAAAAATAATTTTAGTTTTTAGTCATTGAAGATTTAGTTAAAAAAATAAACCAATATCATGAAAATATTGTATAAAATTCTCTTTATTCATTTTTAGACCCAAGTAAAATTGGATTAATTTGTACTATATTTGCATTGGGTGGTAAATTTTCAATGAGAAAAAGCATTTTTCACAATTATCTATGAAAAAATAGTTTTTACAATTGTTAAATATTGTTATGTATTGAAATTGAAGTGGAGTTCCGCTTGTGGGTAATTGACATTTCATTAATTCTTTACACCAATGAACTGTTTTCAATGTTATTTCCAATAATATTTTTTTTTGTTGTTAAATCAATTACATTAAATAATGAATGAATTGAAATTGTTATTACTAAACATTGGTTACAACAAAAAATGTTAAAAAAAAATAATAATCAACATTGTGATTATTTATAAAAAACTACATTCATGTCAAGAATCATGATATATTCGATTCACTCAAACGTGAATAAAAATGATTTCCCTTCTGTTTTTTCAACCTTAAGTATAGTTATCCTTATATCGACGAAGCTATTGTTGAACATATTGAAGGAAAAAAGTGTGTATAAAAGGAAAAGGCTGCTGTTACATATCAGGTATATTTATGTAGAACAAGTAAAAAAAGAAAAATATGAATGCATATTGAAAGCATGAAGGCGTGTTACTTTTCCACGTTGTAGTAACATGAGCACTAGTAACATCGATTTACTTGAAGAGTGTGGTTACAAATCATTCGTGCTTGCAAATAGCCGATTTTTGAATTGGACCGGAACGGAAAGTTTTCTCTTAGGTCTACAGTGATTCCCTTCATTGGTCTTGTGACATTAGTTCATTAGATTCAATTTATCTAGTCATTATACAAAGTCTCCAAAATTAGGACAGTCACTAATTTGAGTGATAAAAAATCTTTTCTTCAAGACATTTCTCTTTTTTTTCTTTGTGACCTTGTTCGCTTTTATTCTCAACAATACTTTTATTAAGGTAGGATTCAAATTTATGCTTATATTAAAGATAAAGTTTTCTAAAGCTAGGATGCACATGCAAGCTCAATAAATCGTAATCTCAGTGAAAAGTTGCAAGGAATGGATTGAAGCAGGCGGTTTAATTGGTCATCGCAATGTGTTACCAGCAGGCGTAAAGCCTTTAATTCACTATTGCGAGCGAGAGTTTTCATAGATTGTTAACTACTACTTGCTAAACCAGGTGCGAGTTAAGAGAATGTCTAGTAAAAGGAAACGATAATAAATTTATTGCACCACATAAATAGTATCATATAGAAAAAGTGAATTTTATACCTGGCATGCTTCTGGTTATCATTTGACTGAAAAGTACTATTAATTTTTTTGGAGATCAATTAATTATTTACAGCTGTAAACTAATTAGAAACATAACTAGTAAAAAACATCAAGAGTGAATATAACTACACCTTCATTTCTTACGCCTCGTCGATTTTGTATTAAATTCGTGACAGTTCGAAGGTAATTTATGGGAGTGTCTCACGCTGGTTTCGTCCAAGTTATTATAAGATAGCTTTCATCACATACTTTTTTATTTTTTTGTAAAGTTAATTTTCATCAGCCAAATTGTCATCGATAAAAGGAGTATCAAGAACCGTTTGATTTTTTATTTGATTGTTTTTTTCTTTTATATTAAAGTTCCTTTTTTCTCTTGAGTGAGAAATAAGAGAATAATTCTAAAATGAGGTTCTTGAACTCCTAAACTTTCGAAAAATTTATACTAAGATACAGCTGGCGTACCAATAAAACTATAGTATCGATATAAGTTTGTGTAAATTTTCTCAGAATCGCCAACTTTTTTATTGCTTTAAAAGAAATACTTTTCCTTTCAGTGTATGTCAATATTTGAAGTAACAAAATTTCTCCACTGAGTTGAATCATTTTTTTGCATTTAGCTTTTTTCCAGCGAGTTCTTCACGGTTGAAGCAAAAACTAGACTACCTGACGTGTGTAAAATAAATTGAAAACGTGACAAGTAGAAATCAATGAGTTATTAAATAAATATTTTCGATAAAAACTAATGCTTGAATAGAATGAGTCCATTAGGACAACATCTAAGTACTATGAATTTTTTAAATAATCTCTTTTGAATAACGCTTTCTAGAAAGCTTTTGTATCAACAACTGATAATCAAAACCTGCTGTGAAACTTTGTGCATCGTTGGTGGTCTTATCATATAGAAGATGGCGATGTAAAAGCATCGATTAATTTATTTGAAATAATGCGCACGCGTAAAACATGTGAGGGAATTATGTTATTCATTTCCGCAATGATTTCTCCACAACTGGGATAATGTTACGAGAGATCAGGTCGGCTGTTTCGTTGAGCTGGAATTTACCGTTAGGATGTTGGAAGTACTTTGATAAACTTGGTATAAATGTGGAAAGTTATTGAATCACCTGAATCGAATAAATCATGCGAAACGCTGAGCATTCCCATGAAAATTCAAATTTCATATCTTCAGATGGTATTTTGTCGCCTTTACGACATACATTTGTATTCTGAAATTTCATATTTTCTGCTGTAAATGTTAAACGATTTTAAACTACAATCCATTCTATAACATGAAGTTTAATATTTTTTTTGAATTACAATTATGATGTAAAATCATTCTTCTCAAATTAGCTGTGACATTTAAGTGTGTTGTTAAAGTGAAAATATATTTTATCAACAACCAAATTGACATATCATTTTATTTATACAGTAAATTATTTTTCAATTTATGAGTTCAACTAATAAAAAAATTTAAGTATACATAATCATTAACTGGTGAAGATTATTCACTTTTTATGTATAAATAATTATCCACAGTTCATTTCAACTATAAGAATTGTTGAATAAACGTAGTATTCTTGAGTTAAGAGTTTCAATAACTTAATGATATTGTAAAGCATTACGAGTTAATGAGGCTATACCAGCAGATGGTTATAAAAGACTTATAGCTTGTCTAAATAAAAAGCCGTCGTAATAAATGATGCATTTGAAAAATTATGAAATTAGTACTCATTAATAATATACATAAGTTTAATCACAAAGTTATCATGAGTTCTTTAAATAACAGCCATCGTAATGCGAATCATAGGCTGTTAATTAGAATAAAATTGTTGAAGACAATGATATGAATAAATTTATCGTCATAATAAATTCACAAAGAATTTTACCAACTCTAAAAATTAGAGATGAAAGTAATAAAAATGTTATAAACTCTTTTCCCATCTTCTAGACATTAAATCCTGTCACAGCATAAATAACAAAATTTTCAGCATTTTTTTATGAGAAGTTATTCATTTTTATGATGCCATTTTCACAGAAAGATGAAAATGCAAAATAAAGAATCTCCAGTGACTTATAAAAGTAATAGTCGTGACAACTTAATAATCGCATATTCCTTGAGTGGCTGTTTATCACATTTGGTTACAAAAGCGAGGGTAGTAATAAGAATTTGTCGTAGCAGTCTGTCATTTGTATAATAACAGACTAAAAGTCTTACTGTTTTCCTTTACTATTGCAGAGCCTGAGGCTTTCACGACACTGGTTTAGATCTCTGAGAACTAGTGCGATGATATATTCATTTCCAAAACAAGACAGTGGAGAAATGAAAAATGTCTAGGAATGTGATGATAGCATGTTTCAGATATTTCCGGTGAATGTGTAATTACTATTAATCGAGATGGAGCGAAAATAACGTGTCACCATTGTACTCTGTATCAACAAAAAATTTACGGTTTAGCCGTGATCTAGGTCATTAAGTAACACAAT